CTTCTTTATATGAGTTGGTATTAGGAATTATCAACAAGTAGTTGATGCTACTTATTTGTTTTCCTTGCATGTGTATTTAGATAACTATATTTAGGAATTAGGATGGTTATGAGCTGTGGACCAATGTGGAGGTTATGGTTTTGTTTAGTATCAAAAAAGAAGAAAAGGATTTAGGGTTAAGGACTAGCATGGGGGAAGAAACTAAGAAAAGCATGCAAATTTAATCCTTGTTTGATTACTTTGAGCAAAAATATGTCACTGAAATTCTGTTACAGCAGCAAAAAAATAAAATATTTGCTTCTTTTTATGAGGAAATGATGTTCAGATGATTAAATGGAAGCACAACTGTAGCTTAAGTTCAACCATATGATCAAGAACCCCTGTTTTCCCTTAAGATAGACATTTCTTTTACTTATCTATTGTTTCCTCACTCCCAACATGACACGTGCATTTTTGTTACTGGAACCCTATCCTTGGTCCTGCTGAGGGACACGCTACAAAATACAAGGAGATAACTATAAGCATGAAAGATGAACCTCAAGAGGCTGAATGTTATTTCATACACCTTTAACCACTTTGTTTCAGATGTTCTGTTTTATCAATCATGTCCTATGGGCACCAAATTGCATTATTATGTCCATGTTTTGATTTAGTTATAACTCTCCTGAAGTGCAGTATTCCATGGTATGTTACTAAAATTTGTGTAAATGAGAGTAGAATTTGGGATTCAGATCAAAAGGGATTATATGCCATAGGCAGCCCTGTCTCCTATTTGGGGAATATTCATGTATAGATGTTGCGGTGATAAATTGCTATGCAGTAAACTTTTAGCATCTTTTATCATCTGGGGACACTAAAATAAAAGCATATCTGATGAATTTTGATTTATATTGTTTCTTATTTTTCTTCTTGGTGATTAAACCTATACTGTTTAGTTTAATATGCTTCATATCACTCTGGCCTGCATGAAACTTCTGTATATTTTGAAGCCCCAGCTATGGATGAAGAACCTTGAAAACTACTACTAGTCCAAGCCTTGATGTTCTCATGCCTTTTGCTATGCTTTCATTGTTTTCAGTGTATATATATAACTCTTTAATTTCAAAACATTTTTACTGATTTGCTAGATTACCTTGTGCTCAGGTTGACATCATTGGGGTTGGTTGTTATTCCTCCAAGGACTTATGGACATGGAAAAACGAGGGCATTGTCTTGCCAGCAGAAGAGAGAAATGAAACCCATGATCTCTACAAACTTAATGTGCTTGAGCGGCCAAAAGTGATTTACAACAATAAGACTGGAAAATATGTAATGTGGATGCATATTGATGATACCAACTATACCAAAGCATCTGTAGGCATTGCCATTAGTGATTACCCTACTGGTCCTTTTGATTATCTCCATAGCAAAAGGCCCCATGGATTCGACAGCAGGGACATGACAATCTTCAAAGACAATGATGGTGTAGCATATCTCGTATATTCCTCTATGGACAATAGTGAACTTCACATTGGACCACTAACAGAAGATTATCTGGATGTGACATCCATCATGAGAAGGATTCTTGTTGGTCATCACAGGGAAGCCCCAGCTCTCTTTAAGTATCAGGGAACTTACTACATGATCACATCAGGTTGCACTGGGTGGTCCCCAAATGAAGCCCTGGCTCATGCAGCTGAGTCAATCATGGGGCCATGGGAGACACTGGGAAACCCATGCATAGGAGGAAACAAAATGTTCAAGCTTGCAACATTTTTCGCACAGAGTACCTATGTGATTCCTTTGCCAGGGATTCCAGGTTCTTTCATCTTCATGGCAGATCGGTGGAATCCAGCTGACTTGCGGAACTCAAGATATGTATGGTTACCATTGATAGTAGGAGGCCCTGCTGATCGGCCTCTTGAATTCAATTTTGGATTCCCATTATGGTCTAGGGTGTCGATTTATTGGCACAAGAAGTGGAGACTTCCCTCAGGATGGAGAGCATTGCAATAATTCAAGTTAACATTTCTTACAGAGCTTAGTGTATCATATATTGAGGTTCCTCATCTTTTCTCACTGGTTTTTTTTTTTTTTTTTTCTTGGTCTCTGTGATTTGCCTAAGCCTATTTTTTAGCTCACACCACAGAATGACTTGCTGTACAATTTCAATCTCAGGCACTCCCAGTGAATTTATAGCACACCTCTTGCTTTTGCTTCTGAAGAATGCATATGAATTGTTCTGATAAAAGAATCGCTCATTCTTGTCCACTGTTTGCACCTCGATCGTGAGAAATACAACATAGAAAGTATATCTGCCTTGTTCATATACTTTGATTCGGAAACCCAGTTTTAAGTACAAAAATATGTACTTTCTTGTTGATTTCTAATTTTAATGAAATTTTGAAATAAATTAAGGACTTATTTGTGATCTCTAATTTTTTGTGTACAGGAGAACAGTAGCATAGCTCCCCGCTTCTCATTCTACGGTCTTAGAATATGAACTTAAAAACTCCAACATAAGACCCTAGCTCTTAACTGCTTAGATATGCCAAGAATACCATGGCACAGATTTAAACTTCATGAAAATCATCTATTTGACTAATGTTTCACCCAAGATAGACTAATAATCTTCTTGTAAGAGAGTATGAATCCTTTTCAAGCTTTCCCTTTCTTGCACCCTAAGAAAAAATAATAAACAAGCAAAATCTGTTACAACTCATCAACCTCTGAAAAATCTCCTCCTCCTAATTAGTTCCACCTTCACTTTCTGTGCCTTTCACTCCAATACTTCATCCTTTCAGACTCCCCAATTTATTAGCATCATTTTCTTCATAACACCATCCAACGACAAGGCAAACCCCACCAAAAATGGTGGGCAAATGGCTTCTGCGCCTGACAATGGTGGTGATGCTGGTGGCATTGGTGAATGGCAATGAGTCTGTGAGGCCGGTGGTGAAGATAGTGAAGGGCAAGAAGTTGTGTGATAAAAGGTTGGGAGTGCAAAGGTCTGTCAGCATACTGCTGCAATGAGACCATATCCGACTACTTCCAAGCCTACCAGTTTGAGAACCTTTTCTCAAAAAGGAATGAGCCTGTGGCTCATGCTGCTGGCTTTTGGGATTACAACTCTTTTATCACTGCCGCAGCGCTTTACCAGCCTCTCGGGTTCGGAACCACAGGAGGGAAGCTACAGGGGATGAAGGAAGTGGCAGCGTTTCTTGGCCATGTGGGCAGCAAAACCTCATGTAAGTCTAAATAGAAATCTATGGTTTCGATCTCCTGGTTTGATTCAGGTCAATTTTTTTTTTACAGAAGCTTCTTCTTTACATGCTTAATTTGTTATTTAAACTTCTCATAATTTTATGTGTTGGGTTCACATGTGAGTGTGATAAGTCTCACATTGAGATATTGTGAAAATAAGACATTATTTGCTTAATTTGTTAATAAGATTTTTTATTGTTTTATATATCAGATTCACATGTGACTGTGATAAATTTCACATCGAAATATAATAAAAATAACAAAAAGATATGTGTGAAAACATAATAAGTTAGATTTTGGGTTTTCCCTACATAATGTTTATGTGTCCTATACTTGTTCAAGACTTTAAATGCAAATGCACATGACCACTGTTCCCTTAAAAAGAATCAAAAAGTAGGCAGTGATATGCACAATACAATATGGTTTTGACACCCCACTTTGAATTCTTGACCCTTGTCCATGTGACATAGGTCTACATTTATAATTAATTTTAGGTGGTTATGGAGAAGCAACAGGAGGGCCATTGGCCTGGGGTTTATGCTACAACAAGGAAGTGAGCCCCAGCAAACTTTATTGTGATGAATATTTCAAGTACACCTATCCCTGCACCCCTGGAGTTTCATACTATGGCCGTGGTGCCCTTCCCATCTATTGGTAATTTCTCAATCATTTCACATAATTTCGCATCTGCAATCCAATTCCAATTGTTCTGTGTTTCATTGCTTCTTTGATCACAGGAACTACAACTATGGAGAAACAGGGGAGGCCCTGAATGTGGACCTGTTGAACCATCCAGAATACATAGAACAAAATGCTACCTTGGCCTTCCAGGCTGCAATCTGGCACTGGATGACCCCAGTTAAGAAGCAACTGCCTTCGGCCCACGACGCTTTTGTTGGGAACTGGAAGCCCACTAAAAACGACACTCTGGCCAAGAGAGTGCCTGGTTTTGGCACCACCATGAATGTTCTGTATGGAGACCAAGTCTGTGGAGAGCAGGGTGATACTGAATCCATGAACAACATAATCTCCCATTATCTTCATTACCTTGACCTGATGGGCGTTGGCAGAGAAGGAGGAGGGCCACATGAATTGCTCTCCTGTGAGGAACAGGAAGCTTTCAGCCCTTCTTCTACCTCTGCAACACCTTCCTAAGATTTGTCCCTGGTGATGTATTAGCCTGTCCATTGATTATTGAACCGAAATTCTGTTTTGGAGAAAATGGCATTAAATAATGGAGAGCTATCATAACATAATGGATATGTTACAGACTTGACATAATTTTGAGGCTTATTTTGCCTCCAATTGTAATTACAAGAGTTAACATGTTATATTTTAAAACAATTTCTTTTTCCTTTTCATAAAATATTTTACGACTCAATCAAGATTTAATTTATAAGAGAAATCATTACAAAAAATTAGGTTGGGGTTGATCAGCAAATGCATAAGATAAATTACACTTGTAACCTTAGAGTGTAATATGGATAATATTATTGTCATATTTTATAGTATTAATAACACATTAAATGCATTTTTTTAAGCTTTAGCACGATATTAATACTTTATAAGGGCCAATAACCCTGACCAAATTAGTCAGTGCATCCAATTGTCCGGTTCTAGTCACAGTGATGACACTGTAAAAATTTCAGGTAGTTTAACAAATTGTTTTCCTGTGGGTAAGGACCAACTTGCAGCCTTGTGAACCTTTGACAAGATCAAAGGCTCTCTGAGTCAGAAAGTGGGGACTGTAAGCAATTATTCATGCACAATATAAGGCTGATTAATTCTCGCTTTATTTACACACATAAAGAAGAGAAAAAGAAAGGTGAAACTACATGTATATCCATAAAAGGCCACAACAAAGGATGGCCTTGCCTTTATTCATTAAACTTTTTCCAATGTATTCCTAATTCAACTTCTATCCCGAAAAGTATATGCCTTCATCCAACCCGGCCAGCTAGCAATTATCAAAAGCAAAGAGTGAATTGGGGCCAACCTTCCCTTTTCTTTACGTAAAAGAACACCTAAAGAAGATACACATAGATTTTCATGTTATGAATGAAAAAGGAAAATTTAAAACCTGTGAAGAAAAGTTTTTGCCTTTTTTGATTAAATTTTAGATATAGAGACTTTTTATATAAGTTTATAGGCCAGAATAATTTGAGAAGTTTATGCTTATAAAATATGTTAGTA